TTACGGTAACTCGTCATCCAGTCTTCAGATGCTACCTGACACCGGTGCTGACGTCTCAGTAATTGGTCCACAACATTTAGCAAGTTTGGGAATACCCCGGAGCAACCTACAGCCCCCTCCTCAGACAACGAAACTGACAGCTGATGGTTCCAAGATGGCTCCAGCTTTGGGATCTTTCTGGGCTACCCTTACCTTTGGTAAGCAGTCTTGCTCAGCCCGGATTGATGTTCATAATGGTATCCCGACTCCGCTTTTATCATATGGCCATTGTCAAGAGTTGGCCATTATTTCCAAGGAATTCCCTAAACCTATTTTAAAGGCCACCCCAGAGGACGAGATGTTGTGTTCTACAGCTGCTGCATCCCTCAAGTCAGTGGTTTCATTGAAGGCCGTCTTCACATCAGAAGAGTCTACAGCACCGAATGCAGACAAGACCCTTGAAGATCTCCGCACCGCAGCCCGGGCCGACCCTTCCTACATCCGGCTCGTCGACTGTGTGTCTCAAGGATTTCCATCTAACCGATACGACCTTCATGAATTGCTACTCCCGTACTGGAAAATACGCGAGGATCTCTATTGTGACGAAGACCTCGTCTTGTATGGCCCACGAGTAGTCATTCCTGCTGCCCTACGCCGCCGTACCTTGGCCCGCCTTCACGACAGCCATCGAGGAGTGGAGGCCACCAAGCGACGGGCGAAGCAGACTGTATTTTGGCCTGGAATCGACGCGGACATTGCAAGTACCGTCCGTGCCTGTGAACCGTGCCAGATTCTGCAACCTAGCCAGCAACAGGAACCTTTAATGTGCGACGACAACCCTTCAAGACCCTTCGAGTCTGTGTCGGCCGATTTCTTTGCAGTAGCAGGGAAGTCCTTCCTCGTCATTGCCGACCGACTGTCTGGATGGCCTGTTGTCGTCCCCTGTGGTAGTGATACAACGGCTACTGCTACCATCCGGAGCTTCAGGCATTACTTCAGAGAAGTTGGTGTTCCCCTCCGCCTCAGGACTGATGGAGGACCCCAGTTCACCAGCCACGAGTTCCGGGACTTCATGGACCGTTGGGGAGTCCGTCATGTCGTGACCTCGCCCCACTACCCCCAGGCGAATGGACACGCTGAAGCCGCAGTCAAGACTGTGAAACACCTGATCCTTAAGGTGTCACCCTCAGGAAATATCGACTGCGAGGACTTCGATCGAGGTTTGTTGGAGTTACGCAACACCCCGAACTTCACCGGACGCTCCCCAGCCCAGGTTCTATACGGACATCATCTCAGGTCTTGTGTTCCTGCCCACCCAAAGTCTTTTTCTCAAGAGTGGCAGGCCAAGACTGAGGAATGTGACCGCCGTGCAGCAGAACGAGCCGCAGATGTCGCTGCTCGGTATGACTGTCATGCCCGCCCCCTTCCCAGGTTGAGTATCGGCCAGCAGATCAGGATTCAAGATCCGGTATCTCACCGCTGGGACAGGGTTGGGGTTGTTATGGGTATTGGCCGGTCCAGGGACTACCAAGTGCGTCTTCCTAGTGGTAGAGTATGGTGGAGGAACCGTCGTTTCCTCCGACCTGTGGAGCTGCCTAGTGTTGACCCTTCCCCAGTTGAGTCCCCTAATGTTGATGTCTCTAAAGTAAATCCATCCCCACCTTGTGTTTCTGCCCCAGTACTCCGCAGGTCCGAGCGACTCAGAAACAAAAGGTCCACTCAAGATGAAACTATGAGCGTATAGGGGGGAGGGAGGTGTATGATATATATGGACACGAAGTAGTACCTTCAGCTGTATATTATTATATTACTCTTATTAATTATGTATAGTAAAGTATTACAGAACATGTATTAATTCTATGTAATATTCCATTTATTGTGCACCATGTTATGTATATAAATTATCACATTTATACTTTATGTATTTAGCTTGTGAATGCTGGCATCTGTACAGGCCAGCGCGTAGTAATACATAGATAGATGTAAAGAGAAAAGACAGAGTCCTCGTGGCGTGACCGCGAGGTTCTGCGTCCTACTGTATATATATATATCTCCCGTAAGAGAATAGAACCTACTTTTAAAGACAACAAGTGTTTGTGTATACCCTCAGTAGTATAGAACATTCTTTGGGTATCTGACAATACGCTAGACTGAGTGGAATAAATGGATGGTTGAGGGAGAAAAGTCATCCATGAAGGGGGGTAATATGCATGCTCCACCACTGGATGTGTTGTGCGAATTTGAAATAAAGTCTTGGGAAGCTGTTCGTGTAGAAACTGTCGTAAAATCGCTCAAAAAATGTGGGATTTCAAATGCAATGGATGGGGAAGATGATTTGTTGTGGCGAGACAGTGACGAGGAGGAGGATGGCAGCAAATATAATGAAGACGAAGTCGGAAGTTCCAGTGATTCGGACCCATATGCAGACCTCTTTATGTTAGACGATGAACAGCCTGCAGACTTTGAAGGATTTTAAAATGTGATCATACATGCTTTTATTGTCAATAAAATATAACTTTGATGTAAAATTAATGTTGAAGCTAAAGTTATAACTTTTTATCTTGAAAGTTAAGGTTTTAATTACGGTGTCATTGTGTGTACAGTTGACCCTCGTTAAAACGGACTAATAGGGGGGAAGGGTGTCCGTTTTAGCCGATTGTCCAAATTAACCGATTTAGGGGTTAATATTGCATTATACAGCTATGTGTATGTTCAATTGAGTGCCCCGTCATAGGAGTCCGTTTTCTCTCACTTCAGCACTCCTGAGTCGTTTGTTTTCTCTTAATCTTAGAGTGCACCAGAGACTGTTACATCTTAGTAGTGACACAGAATTTGATATTGCAACTGGGGTTGCAATTGTTGAGGCAACTGAGGTATGTCTGATTACAGTTGGAATATTCAAGATCCATTGTGAGTGATGTTTAAAGCTTCAACTGTCTTTATGGTTGGTAAAACTTGTCAGGTCTGTCAGTCTGAATGGCATGTGTGAGGCCTTGTGTTTGTGCAACCGCTAAATATATAAATATATAATGTTATGGTAATTATCAGAAACACATAGGCATAACGAGGTTTATTACAAAGTGATGAAAAGGATACTGTACAGTGGCTAGTCCACAAAACATGTAGCCATGTCTCTTTATTTGAATGCCCTGTCATAGGAGTCTGTTTTCTCTCACTTCAGCACTCCTGAGTCGTCCATTTTCTCTTAATCTTAGAGTGCACCAGGGACTTTGTTATATCTTAGTAGTGACACAGAATTTGAAATTGCAACCCCAATTGCAACTGGGACAATCCCAGAACCAGAAATTTGATATGGACAGTTCAGATTTCGTCTGATTTATTCGAAATCCGGATTAAAGGGGTCCGAATTAACGAGGGTCGACTGTATATTCAATAAACTGCCATAATGTATCATTAAAATGTCATTGCCCCTGTAGTGTATGTGAATTCACAATCTATAGCGCTATCACAAAATTGTGCAGATGGCACCCATATCATAGTACCGGGTAGTTGTCTGGCTGGCCGCCTGGGTTTAGTGGCGTTCTGATCGATTGTTTACTGTCCATCAGCTGATGAAAATGGCGTGTGGTATTGTGTTCGTTTAATTATATTGGAATTTACAATTTTATTATAATCTCTATGTTAACTAAGTTTACCAAACATGAATTTCAGTAGGAAAGATTAGCGGCAGGCCACGGAAGTTACGCTAAATGATGCACAGCGAGTGTTAGGCAGGCTGTTCCACTATGTAGTACAGCTTCACATTTTATACTCTGAGTATAAGTCGACCCCTGGTTTTGGAGAGATTTTTTTCAAGCTTAAAATTTTGACTTATATGCCGCAATTTACGGTAAATCTCTATTTACGATGTCCCAATCTACAATAATTTGCATTAACGATGCTGATATAAGACCACTTCCTTATTTGCGATGTAAACAAACTCGCATTAAAGACATTGGTCATCCCGCCAACTCAGCACATGGAATGCATCACTCACTTCGTTTGTCAGCTGAGGCATCATTTACCGGAACGCCGCCTCGTGGCCATCCGGTAATCTACAGTCCAGCCATTATTTCTTCTTGGTTACATGTGTACGAAATGGAGCTCAATGTTTATCAGCCATCATCATTTTTTTTCCAGCTTACCTTTTTTTTTTACCTTTCAATGAGGGGACATCACTAAAGTTCATATTGTTCTCCTGTTTTAGTGACAGTGAAGTGATGTTTGCTGTTTTTGTGACTGAAGGGTGCTTTAGCTGTGTTGTTCTGAACATGAGGTGAGCAGCAGTAACTGGTATCATTATTTTCACATTATCAGTGTTTGTTTTCCCTTAGAGCTACAGGAAATTACAGTTTCACAGTATACTGTACTTGTACAGTACATGTACATACTGTAATCAGTTTTAGTAAATGTGAGATGCTTTTGCTCTGACTGTGAAGTGCTTTAGTGACAGTGAGGTGCTTTCCCTCTGTTTTTGTGACAATGAAGTGAGCAGTGTAATTTTGAAAATGTTTGGCAAGAGTTTTGCTCACCATCTTTAGGGCCAAGACGAAGGCTACCCCTCCAGTCCCCAGTCATTAGATTCCCCAAAGTCTGTGTGGAACCCAGGCTGATGTCTCCACTCCATGTTAAAGAGTCCCCTTAGCCTTGAAGGGGACGTGTGATGTCGACCAGACTTATTATGAAGTCGTGAGTGTTGTTTATTTGTGTTTTAGTGCCAGTAGTATTATTCTAGTTTTTCAGTTTTTTGTTTTTTTCGGTGATACATATGGGTATCCAAGTGGCCAGAAACCTAACCCAATGAACCTAACTTACAATATTTTGATTTACAATTGGGTTTCCAGGAACATAATCCCATCACAAATAGAGGTTTACCTGTATCAACTTTCCTACCTCTAGCTACAGATAAGCTATCATCAATTAATAAATTCATTAAGTATGACTATAAAGGGTGAAATTCTTAATTGTTTAACAAACAATCAAGTGAAATTTGATTTCAAATAGCATTTCATTGTACAAACCTTTAGTCCAGCCAATTCATCTTGTCGTGCTGAAAGCTCAGACTCCAGAGATTTATTTTGTCGCTGAAGAGAAGATTTTTTGAATTCCAAATCCTGGATAGTGTTCTCCAATTGTCTCCTTTCTGAACTTCTTTCTTCACATTCCACTCTGTGGGGAAGTTTTCAATATAATTTATGGACATATAAACAGAAATGCATGGCAACATTTGATGCACAGAGTGTTTGTGGTGCAGGAAAATAGTGTAAAGGAGATAATTTAGATGACCATCACAGAGCACCTGTGTCTGGGAAGTACAGGGACAGGTACCAATAGAGCTATCACAATCCAAAAGTTGACAAAACACTTTGTCTTTTGGTGAGCTGTCAGAGGGGAAGGCAGACTTTTGATGCGGCTGAAATAAACGGTAATTTAATTTATAGGCATGTTACGGCAAAATTCCAGGTCAATATGATTTTGAAACATCACGAACTCCAGTTTGGTTAAGCAGTGAGTACAGTGGATATTTGACTGTGTCACCAGTCATTCAGACGCAGGAGATATTTGACCCTGATTCACTGTCATATAAATTCATGATTGATGTTATTCAGCCATGCCTCTTGGTATAATTCCAGAAGTGCACCGCCACCTATTTATGGGTTTAAACTTAGAAAAAATATTAGAAGAAATAGTTGTTGCCTATTATCCTCTCCTGTTATATTGTTTTACAACATCAAACTAAGTCCTAGTAAAAATCCCACTGGAAAAATGAAATAGGGCCATGCTGTACTTCTGGAATTTTTCTGACATTTATTTTGGCCACACCATAATGGGCCTCATCTTTTCTTATTGTTCCAGTTTGCCAAAATTAGAACTTTTTTTTTCTGGCAAGCAGCGAAGAAAATGGATAAATTTATTATTTGTTCATCCACATCAAAACAAGAGCCAATAAATTGAAACCTAAAGATTGAAGAGTCAGAATTTTCACATTGGTTGTGAGTAAGAGGAAGAAAAACTCAGCTGATGCTAGGACAGCAAAAAATGTGGAAATATGAAGACAATTACAGTACAGTCGACCCTCGTTAATTCGGACCCCCTTTAATCCGGATTTCGGATAATTCGGACAAAATCTGAACTTTTTTTTTTTTTTTTTTTAAAGATTTGTAGGAATATTACCTACGCGGACCTTAAGCTAAAATGCTGGTCCACCCACTGCTGGGATAAAACACCAGCGTCTTTTTGGTCAAATGTAACATCACCACTAGTGTGGGGGTGAGATGCAACTTTTAGCTTCAGACATGAAAAATATTTACCATTTACTGCCAGTAAACAATGGAAACGTAAAATTTGTACCAATTAGTAATGAAAAGTTGTGCAGTTCCTTCAGCAAATGAAGCTCACCAACTTACAATAGTAGTCTATGTTGAAGTTCTTAGCACAGGCTAACTTATCATATCATATATGGTATCACAGTTCTCATTGATCTACAAAAAATACCGGTAATAAAAACCTTTTTGATATTTCACACTTAATATAATACCCGGTAATCTACTTCAACCTCCTATTGTTTACAACGACACATGACGCACCACCAGCTGTTGAGTATCAGCTAGACGGTACACGTGTTTTTCGAATCGTTTTCAGTTAAAAAACTGTTACATCACATGTATATTTTACCTTAACTGTGCCTGAATGAATATATTCTCGGAAATAAATAGTAGTTTTGCTGAAACGTGATGTATTTTAATGTAAAATAGGATAAAATACATGACGAAAACAAAAGATTTTACCTAACCTTCCGATGTTCAAGAGAAGTTACTCGTTTTTTTAATAGTTTTTGGTTAAAATACTGTTATATTACAATGGTATTCTATTCATACTGTGCTTGATATAATGCATTCACGGAAATGTAATATTTTTGCTGAAATGACGTACGTATTACAGTGGAAAGTGGGATAAAATCGTGACGAAAACAATGACTTTCGCTTTCTTTCGTTCAAAAGATGTTACCGTAATCGCTTTTCGATTGGTTTTCAGTTAAAAAACTGTTGTATTACAATAATATTCTATCCTAATTGACTTGAATAAATACTACGATACCATATTTCTGAATATTTTCATTAAAATCCATCCAAATCATTTTCCTTGTCATCGTCTGCAGCACCAAACAGCTTCTCCCAGTCCTCTCCTTGAACAGGGCTAGAGGGTACGTGTTTTTCGAATCGTTTTCAGTTAAAAAACTGTTACATCACACGTATATTTTACCTAAACTGCGCCTGAATGAATATATTCTCGGAAATAAATAGTAGTTTTGCTGAAACGTGATGTATTTCAATGTAAAATAGGATAAAATACATGACGAAAACAAAAGACTTTACCTAAGCTTCCGATGTTCTTGAGATGTTATTCGTTTTTTAATAGTTTTCGGTTAAAATACTGTTATATTACAATGATATTCTATTCATACTGTGATTGATATAATACATTCACGGAAATGTAACATTTTGCTGAAATTACGTACGTATTACAGTGAAAAGTGGGATAAAATTGTGACGAAAACAATGACTTTGAAATATAATGCAATATTAACCCCTAAATCGGTTAATTCGGACAATCGGCTAAAACGGACACCCTTCCCCCCCTATTAGTCCGAATTAACGAGGGTCGACTGTAATATCTCCGTTAGCCGGAATTCCCCAAACTCGGAACTCTCTGATAACCGAAATTGAAATTTTATTGGAAAATCATTTCCAATTTGGGAACTATTTTCAGAGGGGCACATTTTCCGGAAAATTCTGAGAATATTTTCCCAATACCCGGAAAATTACGGAAAATTCTGGGGATGGGGGAGTTTTTCTGGGTTTGAGAGATGAAAATCAGGCGCATTTTCTGGAAATTCTGAGAACAATTTTCCGTTACCCGGAAAATTCCCTGGGATGAGGGATTTTTTTCCGGTTTTGACGGAGTAGTCTCGTTACCCGGAAGTGTTCTGCACCAATTGTTCGGGCTAACGGGTATATCACTGTACCTTAACTTTGGCTTCGTAGTATGCCCAGAAAGTAGAGGCACTGCCCAACCACAGTGTGTGCTTTGCTCTCAAGTGCTGTTCAACGAGAGTATGAATCCCTCCAAGTTAACAAGACATTTTCAGACAAAGCATGGCCAGTACAAGGATAAGCTAGGAGTAATTATTGAACAGAAGGCAAAAGAACTAAGTGGTACACAAGCAGGAATGAAGGCCATTAATGTTGTGGATAAAAGTTAGTTAAAATTTCGTATAATGTGGCTCAATAAATAAGTCAACAAAAGATGTCTCACACAAGTGGGGAAACTTTGATTATGCCCACGTGCAACAATATTGTCAGGGAAATATATGAGGAGAGAGCCAAGGCACTGGCAAAATACCGATATCAAGCGAAACTGTAGATTGCCATATCTCATATATGTCTGAGGACATAAGGATACAGTGCTCTGCACAGGTCCGTGACAATGATTCACCATCCAATTGGATGAGCCGACAGATGTGTCCAAAATGTCACATCTACTGGCATTCTGTATATGCGCTATAAGCGAGAGAAAAAGATAAGAGAGAACTTTCTGTTCTGCAAAGATATGAGGACGACAACAATGGCCAAGGAAGTTTTTGAAATGCAGGATGATTTATGAGGCATCAGCTGGACAAATTGCATCAAATGTATGTACAGATGGCGCCATGGCAATGACTGGCAGGCACAAGGGAGTCGTGTACAGAATAAAAGTTGTCCCCTGTGCTGTTTTGCACCAAGAAACACCAATAGCAAAAGACATTTAACCAATGCCTCACGAAGTTATGAACACTGCCATAACCATCGTGAACTTTGTTAAAGTATGAGTCACAAACTCCAAATTGTTCACTGCACTCTGTGAGGAAGTAGGTGCTGACTACCACTTCTTGCTTATATATATGGAGATAGAATGGTTGTCCTGTGGGCAGATCCTCACACACTTATTCAGCCTGTGGAAGGAACTGTGTACATTCCTCTCGGAGAAGAAGCCTGATCTAGATGACTTCTTTACTGATGAGATATGGCTTGCTCAACTCGGCTATCTTGCAAACATATTCAATAAAGTAAACATGCCCAACAAAAAGATGTAGGGCATAAATACATACTGTACAGCATTACCCAGTACAAATGAGTTGAGACATTCAAAAGAAAAAATTAAAATTGTTGAAAATTCGTGCAACGGCAGGAACTACTATGCAAATTTGAATAGATGCAAGTATTCATTAAAGAGAGACACATGATTTTCAGTGTCATCAAACGCCAGGTAACTACACCTGCCACAGATGTTGGACAAATTCAACAGGTATTTTCCTTAACTAACATAGGAGCAAGCTGCTTCCTACTAGTGAACTGAAAACCCTATACTGAGAACACTGAGACAAAACTTCCATCCACCTCATCATCCAAACCCTTTGAAGAGCTCATTGACTCATCATCTGATGAAAAGCTTAAAGCTCATTTCAGTAAAATGCCACTGGAACATTTTGGATTCAGTATGGTGATGAGTTCCAGGTATGTCAAGATGCAGCAGTGAAGGTGTAAATACCATTCTGCACTACCTACTTGTGTGAGGCTGGCTTTTCAGCCAAGACAACTGAAAATTATACACAGGTCAATGTTAAACACTGAAGATAACATGCGTGTTTGCCTATCAAAGATCTCCCTGCACATTGACAGTATTATTGCTAGGCACCAGCAGCAGGCCTAACATTAAATAGAGCTTGTATTTAGGCTACAATGAGAAAAATCAAATGGTTATATGTGAATCTTATATTTTTGTTCAATCTAGAATGCAACGTCTAGCTTTATACCTAGGTAAGTTAATGCCTAGCAATAACTCGCCAGGCCAACATACAGACTATTAAAACATCTAATAATTACTTGATACGTAATATTAGGAGGACACGTCGCTACCTGGCATTTAATTGCAATTCTCAAAACCCACTCCTGCACCCTCTATCACACGCATTGCTACCGTCATCTTCTTGCCTGGGGAATCAGCTGTAAATATGCACAAAGAAGGCTCCGCTAATTTGTGTTGTAATAGCTGAAATACTAAGTGCCACGAAGATTTTATATACGGTATTTATACATCTTAGCACAGTGAGGAAACCGAGTGATTTTTAT